CCCATCCGATGATTGCTCCAACGACGTAAAGTCCATAGCCACAATCTCTAGTGGTTTTGTCGCTAGTAGGTGTCCTGATGGCTGTCTCATTTTGACAACTGGCATTTTCGCATGCTGACACCTCACACAAGCCTCACAATGGCGTTTGACCTCCATTTCCATATTGGGCCAGTAACACCTCCGTCGTAATATTTTGTGCGTCCTGTCCTGACCCTGGTGTCCTGCCCTGTCATGTGCCAACCTTAGCACTTCTTCTCGTAATTGTCCAGGCACCACCACCTGGTGTATTGTCCCATCAATTTGGTCATGAATTCTCCGCATGAGAACACCATCCTTTATACTGAGACGGTCCCACTGACTCAGTATTTTCTTTGTTTCTCGACCAAATTGTTCTCTTTCCCTTCTTCCTGGGAATTTTTGTTCCTGGACGTGTTTCAACAGCGGCTGTAAGCCACTATCCGTTCTCTGGGCATCTCTTATCTCTTTGTGATTACGGCAATTCAAATCACTAATGTCCATATGTCCGGGCTCTGTGGATATGTGCTCCACCCCGGTCTGTCCGTTTTGCATCACTTGCACCCCGTGAGGGAAATCTGTTGACGCTCTGACCTCACATATTCCTGTCAGCGTTTCTTCCTCATCGCCCGGTCTCTCGTACGGATTCCTTGATAAAGCGTCCGCATTGCCATTGGACCGCCCCGGGCGATATTTTATCTCCAGGTCAAAGAGTGCCAATTCTGCTGCCCATCGCTGTTCGATGGATCCCAACTTTGCTGTCTTTAGGTGACTCAAGGGGTTATTGTCAGTGTATACCACACATTTAGCACCTAATAGATAGTCCCTGAATTTTTCAGTCACAGCCCATTTTAATGTCAAAAGTTCTAGTTTCATGGCGCTGTAATTTGTCATGTTCTTCTCTGATTCCTTCAGAGCTCGACTGGCATACGCAATAACCCTGAAACCTTGCTCTTGTTGTTGTGATAGCACAGCTCCCAGACCTTTAGAGCTGGCGTCAATTTCTAGCCGAAATGGTTTGTCAAAGTCCGCGTATCCTAATATCGGCGTCTCTGTCAAAGCCTTTTTCAAGAGCTTAAACGAGTTCAGGCATTCATCAGTCCATAATTCACCTATCAGTTGTGTTTTACCTTTCTTTTTCTCCTTACTGTGTTTCTTTGTCATTTTGTTTACCAAGTCATGCAACGGTGCGGCAATTTTTGCAAAACCAGGTACAAATTTTCTATTTTCTTCTTCAGATAACAGAAACTCTAAAGATGAACATTTCTCCTGTGCTTTTAATTTGCCTGAACTTTCCCTATCCAGTTTCATGGTTAACCTTGAGATCTCATTATTAAGTCTACCAATTTCTTCCTTATCATCATTTTTCTTAGCCAACAAATTGTTCACTTGAAACTTTTCAACATTCAAGTTCATTTCACAGTTCATTTTTTCAATATCTGATAATTTCTCTTCGAGTCTTGTTTGAGACCCTTTCATTGTTTGTTTCCTTTTGTTTCTTACGCCATAACCTCGCCGCTCTGTAGCCTTGACCTGCCTTACAGAGGGCGATCGTTTCACCGGACAGTACCGTGCCATATGTCCGGGTTGTGAACAGGACAAGCAAATTGGTCGACCGTCAGCCGTCCACCGGAGCGATGGACCGGCGGGTCGCGGCCGTCCAACCTGTCTCTGTTTTGTCCCGTTCTTTTCCTGATTCTCAGCTGTTGACCTGCTCTCTAACCTCTCCAATCGTTGGTCAACCTTATCCAGGTGAGCCAACAGCTGAGCCATCATGGTTTCCACCGTGCCGGTCCCTGTGGGTGGGGATTGTTTCTGTTCCGGCACAAAGACTTTGTCCACCGAACAGTTCGATTGGTCCTCATCCTCGGACCTGCGGATCGCTGAGTTCCTGACCTGAAGGAAGGTCAACTGCGGGTCTTTGTGGACCTCCTCTTTCAACTCTCTCCTTAAGATCGGGGTTGCTAGCCCCTCGATGAAATGGTCCCTCAGTAGGCGTACATCAATGTCAGGTGTTTTGCCCTTTACCGAATCAAAGGCCCTGTTCATTCGGTGTGAATACTCCATCACACTCTCCGCCATTCTCTGCTTTAAGCCTACGAACCCCGATAGCAGTTGCGATCCCGACCGTCTCTCCCCAAAGGTCTCCATAATTAGATCCAGCACCTTATCTGGATCTGATTGGATGGTTTTATCGTGGCATTTGACCTCTGCCCTAACCGTCTCTCCTATACTGCCCATCAGCAGTCTTAATCTTTCCTCTGGTGACATGCATCTCGAGGCCCAGGCCGCTTTGACCTCTTCACTGAACCTGTTGGTTAAAGCTGGATCACCGTCCCCGTAAAATTTGTTAATGTGGGACTCTCTGGGCAGGACCACAATATGGGTCTGCTTCTCGTCCAGAGTAGACATTTTATTCCTTGAGTAAAAAAAAAGAGTTCTTTCTTACCGTGTGTGTATGAAAAATTTTCCTCGTTCCTCAATTTTCACTGTTCCTGAATGTTCGAATTCACACACACACTAAACACAGTTATGAACAAGGTTGACTATGGGTGCCTAAAGCGGCAAGTCTAGTTGAATTCATCCTGTCCGACGACGCCAAATGTGACCTAGGCTACTCGCAGCGCCAAATGTGACCCTGCTCGCAGCGCCAAATGTAACGAGACTATTTGCCTGTAGTGCCAAATGTTAACGAGTTCTGCTCGACAACGCCAAATGTTACCGAGTCTAACCACTCATTCTACACAACATCGACCACAGTATAGATACTCGAAGATGCAGGTTCGCTATTGATCCTTTTATTACATGAATCAAAGAAATGCTTCACAATAATATACTGAATCAAAAGGAATGCTTCACAATAATAGTTTGAATCAACTGACTCCCAACAGTCCTCACTAGTCTTCATATAACTGAATACACATGTCTATCGTCCTTCTTAACACAATACGGCTAACCCGTTCAATAACCAACTTGATACTGCCTCACTGACTGACTGATCGAGAGAGAGAGAGAGACTGAGAGACCGAGCCGTCGCCTTCCTATATATCCCCCTCGTATTCGTAATCGTATTCGGTTCTATCATAATCGTACTCGTAGTCGATTCTAATCGTTGCATCAGAATGTTAATTACGCCGCTTCTGTCGTACAGTCCGATTTAATAAGCCATCTGCATCCTGTCACATCAAAGTTGACAGACCGTATTGCGTTCTTATCGTATCGCTTCCCAAGATACTACGCCTTGGCTTTCTGATCGTTATCAGCCAACACCTGTGTTATTGCATCAGTCGTGTCAAAGTTGACAGCGCTGTACTGCGTTATGTCTCTGGTAACTTCCCCTAGTTACATATATATATATATATATATATATATATATATATATATATATATATATATATGTGTGTGTGTGTGCGCGCGTGTGTGTGTGTGTGTATGTGTGTGTGTAGTCGTATGGGGTAGAGTTGATATGCAACTTTGTTCTCAATAATGATAATAATAATATAAGCACTACTAATAATAATGCTGATAATAACATTAATAATAATAACGCAACAAATGACATCTCTAACAACATACAACAAATAAGTTGTAACACCATGATTATGCAGAACTGTTGTGAAGTTCAAATGTTACATAACTGTATTGAAACTAATTATTAATACATGGGGAACTAAGTACTGCTATCATCAAACTTAATTAAATCTACGTCTTCATTTTTGCTGTCTGGTTTTTTATGCCTTCCCCTTGGTCTTGGGTTGGTTCCATGTCGTCCTCGGGCATGGACTTTTCGACTGTTGTCATGGAGACGCCTGTCTTGATCTCGTGTATCTGTCATATGGACATTTTGTCGTGGGAGGGGCGTTGTTTCTTCCGCGTGAGCACGTTGTATAGCGTCTTGTTGCGATACAAACTGTGAGGGGAGGGTTTGTTTGGGTGGGATGTAAAGTTCAGGATTAGATTGGCAATGTTCACGAAAGTTGGAGAACGAATTAGACGTGTAGTTAGGTGGGGGGTTCAAATCTCCTAAACTTCTCCAGTGGGGGGAGCTTTTATCACGAGCCTCTTGACGGTGGCTCATCCCTTGCTCGTGTGAATCTGGAGACTTCCGCAGTGTGATCTTGTTCTGTCTGTAAGGCTGCAGGATGTTCCCGCCCAGTAGACATCTCTCTATAGGCAGCATTTCGTTGGATTCCCACAGAGCTAAAGGTTCCACGACTTTCGGTGGCTCGGCGCTCTCGGAGCTTAAGCTAAACAAAGCGTTCATGGAACTATTGTCGGTGAGGGCGTTTTTGCTCTTGTTTTTCTTCTTGGCTCCACCTTTCGGCGCCGGCTTCTTAGCAGTCGGCGTTTTGACTTGTTTTCCTTTTTTCTTTCCTTTCTTATCACCCGCCTTTGCTGCCGGTGGCTTCACGTTTCCATCCGTTTTTTTCACCTCCGTGTCTGACCCCCCCTTCGACGTAGACGACGACGACGACTCCTCCTTCGCTGGTTCCTCCCCTTTTTCCCCATCCCCCGGGTTCTTATCCCCCGCATCCTCTTCACCCCCTCCCCCAGACTTCTTTTTCTTTGATCTCGATTTCTTCGGTTCCTTGCCTCCTTTGCCTCCAAGACTCGTTAGGGATTTCCAAGCCTTGGCCAAGCCGAACCCCTCCCCGCCCTCCCCCTTCTTGCTCTTCTTCCCCTTTTTACTTTTCTTCTGCCCAGGTTCGCTGGACGTGCCCAGGTTCTCTGTTAAGTCGTCACCCTCGGGGAAGTACACGCGTCTGGCGTTATCTTTTGTGTTTTTACCTGTCGCGTCCCTGGAAACCAATCACAGAAAAAAAAGGTTACGGTATACATATTATAAAGCCGTATACACAAAGTATACAAGATATACCTTCTAAATGATGTATCATTGTAACATCTTAATATGACAATGTATATAAAATATACAATCTCATTGATGTATCATTTTAACCTATTGATATGTCAATGTTAGAAAAAAAAATTCTACTGTAAAGATCTGCTAGCTCGGCACAGATACGCGTACCAAAAGCTGAGTAGAGAGAATGATAACTGGAAATTTTACGCGAGTTCGATCATCATTTTCTGTACATATGGACCCGGTGATCATTTACCATGACGGTGCATGGCTTAACAGTAAACGACTTGACTGTGACGGTCTGGGATTAAAAAGTGTAGCAGTGCTTTGTATCGACAATCTGCTGGACCGCTTGAAATCTCTGAAGATACAGTCATGTCGGTTATCTGTCGGCTTTACTGTTTAGATTTCTATTGGACTCTGAATATGCGGGTCTAGGTGTATAATCTGATCAGGTAATGCAAGGCTGATCGATCGAAGGATCTGGGTCATGTCGAGAAAAACCATGTTAGTCGGTTTTAAACGTTCGAAACTGTCTACTAGTCTACTTTCTTGTCTTACCCTGTTTCGTAAACAATAGTTAAATATCCACTGTCACAGACACATACACACGTTTGTATATATATATATATATATATATATATATATATATATATATATATATATATATATATATATATATATATATATATATATATATATATATATATATATATATATATATATGTATATATATATATATATATATATATGTATATATATATATATAATAGTAAGAGTCCTACTTACGCATCCTGATTGTGTATAGCATCACCTTTCCTGTGAGCCAGCTTGGTGTACTTGAGATATCTCTCATCAAACTCAGCCACTGTAGGCTTTAAATAAAATATTAAATGTCAGTAAAGTCAGCATAGATCTAGCTAGATCTAATTTAAACAGTACTAACGCTATCACACCTAAAATATGACATTGCAATTCTGTTTTCATGGGGCCTCTAGCAATGGTGTTCAAACAATTGATTTACTTTTCAACAGAATACAACAGTGTTAGTTTAAATCTTTGTTTTTTAAGCGTCATCCTTAATGCTAGTAAATAAATTCGGGTATTTTAATATTATGGTCACAATACGATCGTATTAATGCAATTGTTGTATTGTAATTGTCACGATGTAAGTGTCTCAATGTGAATGTCTCCAATATGTATGAGCTGATGCCTGTGCCTTACATCTTTGACAGTTATATCTATCAGAATGTCTGTATATGAATTTGTAAACGCAACTGTCTTGACGTGATTTTCCTTATATGATTGTCTTAACGTGATTGTCTTAGCGTGATTGTGTTAATGTGACTGTCTAAATTGGATGTCTTAACGCTATTATCCTATCGTGTATGAGACTCACATCTTTAGCAGGTTTTTCCATCAGACAATGTCTTTTAGGTTTTTCTGGCAGCCCCAGGGGGTCTTCTAGCCCGGTTTCTCTGGCATGGCACACCCTAGGGGGGATAGAATATTTTTTATATTTGTAAAAGGTAGTTTTTAACAATCGCCTTTATAACGTAATCGGCCAATTTCCATAACCCTGATATAGGACGACTCGATCCGAGCTACTCTTGTTACAATTAGCTTCAGATTGGAAAAGTTCAAAACGTATTTTTATGTACATTGGTTTAAAAAAAGTACACTGAGCAAAGTGGGTAAGTGTTTGTGTTGTTAGAAAGTTAAGGGTTTAAAATTTGCGTGATTCCGTTTCTAAACACAATTCTTTTCCAATTATTTTTAAAAAATGACCTAATATGACCTAATTAACAAAGCAGAACATATGCATTTATCAAGAAGGCTTATGCGCTTCTGTTTTTGAAGTGAAGAAATTTTCTTAGCTCAAGGCTCAGGACCTTTATAAGCTGGGACCATAAAGTGGGATCAAATTTTTAGTTACAAATTTAATCTAGTATGAGCAAGACTTTCTAAGCTGCCCATAGAGACTATAGTATATTTGAGACTCGCTGTCTTTGAATGTGATTGGGACTGTTATATATTTAAGTAGCCCTCCCCCTCCTCCATCACCTATTGCGTGATGGTAGAAGTAGTGCAAGTTCTTGCTCACCAGCAGGCGGCGACCAGCATCTTCTTGCACTTGCTGGACATCTTGATGAGCTCCGTCACCCGGGCACAGTCCAGTAGCTCCAGTGACGTCATGCTGGTGAATCTGACTTCATTCATCAGCTGTAACAGTGGTCAGTCATAAGTCATGATCAGTCATATATCATGGTCTGTCATATATCATGGTCAGTCATATATCATGGTCTGTTTTATATCATGGTCAGTCATATATCATGGTCTGTCTTATATCATGGTCATTAGCTTAAAAAAATGGTCGGTCATACATCATCAGCTGAAACAGGGATACTGTTAACTACATAAAAAAATAACTTCTTAAATTTCGGAACTCAGCCACGATCAACAAATTAACGCTATGATCAACCAATGAACTCTTACCTTTGGTAGTTGGTTGATCCTATTACCCACGTCGTAAGCCACCCAGAAGAGAACCCCCCAGAAGGCGTCGAGTTCAGAGTTCACCACAAGGTTATCGCCGCTGATGATCTCCAGGAAGTCGTCAAAGCTGAAGAGATACAACCTGGGGTCGTCCACCACTGACTGGGGGTTGGGGTCAGAGGTTAAAGGTTATGTTGACGAAGGTGTGGAGTTGGTAGGTGTTATGACGAGAGAAAGTAGAAAATTAAAAGTACGATGTGGGACCATGCATGAGAACACACGTCGTACATAAACATCTTAGATTGAGCTAGTTGAAAACTCGTGCAGATCACGATAATATATTGATATTTCTGGGCATTAAAACTATAGGCACTGCTGCCCAATCTGGAATAGTATTTAAACTAAATCTGGGAAAGTAGTGCAGTGTTATAGTAATAATCTACATAGCTTTAATTTTAAAAATGTAGGCATTTTGTATTAATATCCTACAAAATTTTAACGGTGAAAACATATTTCTGCGATGTAGTTAACTACTAATCTAAAAATTAGTACACAGTATAGCAACACTTAGGTCTTGTTGGTTAAGACAATGCCATTGAAACTAATGTCTTCTGAACTTACTGTAAAATAGGTTTTGACCACCTCGATGGCGAGGGCCTTTTCATCTTTATTTCCATCTCCAGTCAATATCTCGATGGCCTGAATATTTATAAAAACATTTTTTTTTATATTTTACTTTTGATTTGCTTGATAAGCTCGTTCCCAAAATAATTAGTATAAAATCATAATAATAAATGTTTAAGAAAAATAATTGTAATTTCTTTTTAAAGTTTGAACTTTTTAAAAACCTTTTTTTGTTCAACATGTGTTTGGCGTTTGTTGCAAGAAAAATTCATTGATGTAACATAAAATGTATACATATCTAAATTTGGAAGGAGAAGGGGGTGGGGTGGGCAAAATGTAAACTCTGCAAGGTACAAAGATGTATAGACCGGATGAAGTAGAGTTCTATTATTTCTTCACCTCAACATATTGAGAAATGATGTGGTCAGCACTATACCCTGCCGCCTTTACTTTCCTTAACATGGGTCAGGTATCCATTAGAGCTGGGTGGAATCAGGGACGTTCTGCTGTCCCCCCTTGACCGGAATATCAGCCAAACACACACACACACACTGTATACATACATATATATATATATATATATATATATATATATATATATATATATATATATATATATATATATATATATATATATATATATATATGTATAGATGCCTCTTGATCGGTAACTGGACTAACCTCCTCCACCTCCATGGCGTCAGTTGTTGCCATGAACAACATGAGTTTGGCCTTGAGTGTGTTGGACTGTAGCATGGCGGCTATCGTCTTTAGACCGTACAGGTTCTCCATGTTCACCTAGTGAGTCAGACAAAACTAGAGGTGCCATCGGAGAAATCTGTTTCATTAGTGGGCAAAGTTTGTAACTTTACAAGGGAAATAACCAGGGAAATATCGAGCATGAAATAAGGCAAGAAGAGTTACAGGGAATGGAAAAATATACAAACAGATTTTCCATATTCATACACCATTGTCAATTATAATTTTTTTCCCAGCCTTCTGACTGGTATTTTCTGCTTTCATAATATATGTAACCCATGATATGCACAAATACATATGTAAGCCTATTTAATTACATTGTAGCATCAACATCATAGTGTAGCTAGCACTATGCCCAGCTGCCTTTGTTTTCTTTAATGTGAGTTAGGTACCCATCAGAGCTACTGATTTGAATCCGGACTCGAACTCGAGACTTTCGGGTTAGGAATCTAGCTCTACACCGCTAGGTCACGCCATCCCATGTAGAAACATACATGTACATATATACATGTTAAAAAACATATACACAAACTCAAGCTTTGAGTAACACATACAAAAAAAAACGTAATTTTATAAATTTGTTAATTCACTGCGACCAATAGAGAGTCACATATACGAACACAATCGTAGACACATACACACATAAACACACTCACAAATACATCTCCTGTGTAAGCGAAGTGGAGGAAGTACTTGAAGTAATCAGGATCAACCGATTTGATGGTGACGTCGGTGACGGCATAAGGTGGGATGTCGTTGTCTACAAGAACATCAGCAAAGTACTGGCTGTGGGTGCATAGGATGCTACGGTGGGCGTAGAAACACTGTGGAACAGTGGGATAAAGACATTGTAGGATAATAGGATAAGGACATTGTAGGACAGTGGGATAAGGACATTGTAGGACAAATGGGGTAAGGACATTGTAGGACAGGGGGATAAGGACATTGTAGGACAGTGGGATAAGGACATTGTAGGACAAACAGGAGAAGGGCATTGTAGGATAATGGAATATGGACGTTGTAGGAAAAATGGTATAAGGGCTGTGTAGGAGAAATAGGATAAAAACATTATCGGACAAATGAGATAAGGACATTGTAGGACAATGGGATAGGGACATTGTAGGACAATGGGGTACGAGAACATCAGCAAAGTACTGGCTGTGGGTGCACATGATGCTACGGTGGGCGTAGATACACCGTAGGACAGTGGGATAAGGACATTGTAGGACAGTTGGATAAGGGCATTGTAGGATAATGCGATAAAGGCATTGTAGGAAAAATGGGATAAGGACTTTGTAGGACAAATGGGATAAGGACATTGTAGGAGAGTAGGATAATGACTATATAGGAAAATGAGATAAGGATATTATAGAACAAATGGGATAAGGACAATATAGGCCAATGGGATAAGTACATTATAGGATAAATGGGATAATGACATTATTGGGCAAATGGGATAAGGACATTGTAGGAAAAATGGTATAAGGAGTGTGTAGGAGAAATAGGATAAAAACATTATCGGACAAATGAGATAAGGACATTGTAGGACAATGGGGTAATTACATTAATTGACAATGGAATAAGGACATTGTAGGATTATGGAATAAGGATATTGTAGGACAAATGGGATAAGGACATTGTAAGACAAATGTGATAATGACTTTATAGGACAAATGGGATAAGGACATTGTAGGACAATGGAATAAGGATATTGTAAGGCAATTTCATGGTTAAATTCATCAAGGAATGGACTTGCAGTAATTGCGGGATTACTAAATGCAAAAAAAGATGGCTAAGAAGAAAGTAAAAATTTAGTGCCTTAACGACCACTCGAAGTTATAAGATTGATGATGTATTTGTTGGCATATACTAATTCAACGATTTGCACTAACATGACTCTATATTTACCAGTTATAAAAGACAGTACTAAGACAAGTTACCCTGTCGTCAATGTGTACTACATGACCCTATATTTACTAAATATAAAAGACGATACCAAAACAAGTTAACCTGTCGTCAATGTGTACTAACATGACCCAATATTTACCAGCTATAAAAGACAGTACTAAGACAAGTTACCCTCTCGTCAATGTGTACCAGGATGTCTATTATAAAAAAAGTACTAAGACTATGACAAGTTACCCGGTCGTCAATGTGTACTACATGACCCAAGATATACCAACTATAAAAGACAGTACTAAGACAAGTTACCCTGTCTTCAAAGTGCTCTAACATGAACCAAGATTTACCAGCTATAAAAGACGGTACTAAGACAAGTTACCCTGTCGTCAAAGTGCACTAACATGACCCAAGAATTACCAGGTTTAAAAGACAGTACTAAGACAAGTTACCCTGTCGTCAAACTGCGCTAACATGACCCTATGTTTATCGGATATAAAAAAACAGTACTAGGACTATGACAAGTTACCCTGTCGTCAATGTGTACCAGAATGTCTATTATAAAAAACAGTACTAGGACTATGACAAGTTACGCTGTCGTCAATGTGTACCAGAATGTCTAATATAAAAAACAGTACAAGGACTATGACAAGTTACCCTGTCGTCAATGTGTACCAGAATGTCGATCAACTTTCTGGCCGTGTATAATGCGAACATCTTCTCCCCGTTCATGGCGTAGTGGTGGATGCGCTCCATGGGGAAGTTGGTGTACTGGCGGATGATGCTGCTGGCTGTGGTGGGGCTAAGGAACTTCAGGGGCGGACCCGTGGGGAACTGCGAGAAAAACCGGAGAAGGGGTAACAAAGCGACGTTAAGATTTTTAATAATATAATTTTATTCTAATTGTAAATAGAATATAATCAAACGAGATTTTGATTGTCTAATTATTTGATATATACATAGATAAATGTATGTATGTACATAGATAAATGTATATATGTACATAGATAAATGCATATATGTACATAGATAAATGTATATATGTACATAGATACATGTATATATGTACATAGATAAATGTATATATGTACATAGATACATGTATATATGTACATAGATAAATGCATATATGTACATAGATAAATGTATATATGTACATAGATAAATGTATATATGTACATAGATAAATGTATATATGTACATAGATACATGTATATATGTACATAGATACATGTATATATGTACATAGATAAATGTATATATGTACATAGATAAATGTATATATGTACATAGATAAATGTATATATGTACATAGATAAATGTATATATGTACATAGATAAATGTATATATGTACATAGATAAATGTATATATGTACGAGACGACTTGGTCGAATGGTAGTGCAATCGGGTATTAGCTCGATGGTCTCAATGTCCAATATCAGTCCGGACGTTCCTGTGTCCATCCAGCCCTGAAAAGTCAAAGGCTGCTGGGCATAATGCTGACCCAACCATCCCATCATACGCCGAGGTCAAGAAACACATCAACTCTACTTCATCTGTCCTATGGATCTTTTTGTCTGAAATGGGAGCTTTACGTTTTTTTATATATGTATTTGTGGGTTTCTTTTAAAAATGGTTAGATGGTTCATATAAATTTGGCGTGAAACAGAATCTCAGACAAAAATAGAGTCCACTCACCCAATGAGGATCGCCCTTCTCGTCCAGCAGGTAGACGTGACCTCTGGTCTTGGGCGTGGACCACTCGGGCTCCCCCGTGAAGTCTGGGAAACCCTCGGCCTGGTTGAGTGCAATCTTGGCGTTCTCGAACAGTGCCTTCAACACAGGCGGGACCACTGGGGGAGTAGGTGGAGTAGAGTGTAAGATTTACTGGTCAGTGCCCTTGTCTAAGTAGTGTACAGTGTGGTACAATATAGATAAAGATTTCATTGGTCAGTGCGCTTGTCTAAGTACTGTACAGTGTGGTCCAATATAGGTGGAAGATTTCATTGGTCAGTGCGCTTGTCTATGTACTGTACAGTGTGGTCCAATATAGATGGAAGATTTCATTGGTTAGTGCGCTTGTCTATGTACTGTACAGTGTAGTCCAATATAGATGGAAGATTTCATTGGTTAGTGCGCTTTTCTATGTACTGTACAGTGTGGTCTAATATAGATGGGATATTTCATTGGTCAATGCGCTTGCCTGAGTACTGTTCAAGGGGGTGGGGCCAGGGTAAATTGTAGGTTTTTAAGCGTCAGTAGCTTTGAGGCATGGGAGTGTAGATGTTTAATTATAACCTGTACATTTAAATAAGCATCGATAAAGTGACATTGATGTAGATGATACTTACAATTACGTAGCCACACTGTGTCTGAAAGAAAATAATGTAGAGAATAAGGAAGAAGAAAATAAATAGGACTAAACATAAATAGACTGAAAAACATGGTTTTGATTTGGCTCTAAAAGGTATTAAAAAATAACTATTTTATTGACAGTAAGATCTTACCAAATATTCTAAATATTCACCTCATCCTTTGCCTATATTATCACAATATACAACACAATAGTCGATTATATCCGACTAAATACACATCATATATTGTGAGTTTGATTTTACCTTCCCAACCAATCAAACTCCAACCGTCCAAATCACCAATTATTAACTACTAACTCACCAACCTACGATCTTGCAACAAAACAACTCTCCAACCAACAAACCCCAAAACCACTAAACCACCAACCCACCAAACTACCAACCACCCCCCTACCCACTAACTTACCAACTTATCAACCTACCAATTCACCAACCTACCAACCCACCAACCTACCAACCCATCAGCCCACCAACCCACCAACCCATCACTCACCAACCAACCAAACACCCAAGTAACAAATCATTAACCTCTAACCCACCAACCCAACCAACCCACCGACCCCCAACCCTATCAAACTATCAACAAAACAAACTCCCAACCCACCAACCCACCAACTCACCAACCCACCAACCCACCAACCCACCAACCCACCAACCCACCAACCCCCCAACCCACCAAACAACCATCTTACCTTTCTTCTGACTCTCGCTGCTGCTTGAGCTAAAAGGTTTCAAAAATTTGTTGGTAAACCAGGACTTCATGCCTCCACCTTTTCCTTTTCCTTTCTTTGATTTCTTACCTGAGAAAAAACAAACACCCATCTGATCAATTTTCCTTTCTTTCATTTCTTACCTGAGAAAAAGTAACAAACCCCATTCAGTTTATCTCCAGGTATCTCTGGAATAGCCAGTCCAGGCTCAAGCACGACCTCGTAGGGTGTCGGCTCGTAATTATTAAAATAGTTTTGTAAAATTATATATTTAAAGAAAATAATTTATTTTCTACTTTTTATTGCATCCAAATATATAAAATACCAATTGCGCACTTCTCTCTCTCTGTCCACAAAATATTTTCACAGGCTATCATATCAGTATCTTCAGCGATATATGGATAACTTTGTTGAAAATAATATAGTAGATGTTTTAAATGTATAAACAAAATTTTATTTGAAAGAAGAAAAATAAAAAATAAAGTCATATTCAAATGTAGAAAAACGGTTTTAATTATGCTACCGGAAAAGTGTTTTATAGTTGTGACAAGAACGCCGAAATTGATGACGTCACATGTCATATGTTTGAAGTACGGTAAGTACACAAAACCAATGACGTCATCTTCCAATTTTAGAATACTAAAAAAATGAACTAAATTTTGATTTATTCTAAAAAATGCATAACATTAAAAATATATAGACCTATAATTCACGTGTAACGGGTACGGACGGCTTGTTATGACATAAAAGCTTGTTATTAAAACGTTTTTTTATGCAATTTTTGTATTCTAGTGTCATGTGCCTTGGCATAGATAATTTTCTTCTTCTTATTAATTTCAGTGTTGGAAGGATTCCCTCTAACACATTTAAGTATACGTGTTAATTGGTTAAGCGCCATATAGACCATTGACTCAGATTTCAGCCTGCTTTTCTTTTTGGATTTGCTTCCATAGCCTTTGTGCAACCAAGAACAAACTACAAGGCAGCGGTAGTTTGATTTTGGAGTTGTCTCTCCTAGAAGAGTGGCTGTCCCCACCTAACGAGCCTCATCTGCCCGAGGGTTCAAACTCGTGACTTTTTGGTTTAGCAACCATGAGCTTTAACGACTCGAACCCGCCCAACACGCGTAGACATTGTTTATGAAATAAATTGTCTTACTCAACCGCTGTAACAAATGTTTAAAAAAAAGTAAAAAACTCATGTCAACTATTGTCAAAAACTCACGTCCACTATTTTCCCAAATTTAAGTCAACTATTTTCCCAAATTCAAGTCAACCATTTTCCCATTTTCATGTCAACTATTATATGAAATAATGTCAACTGTTGTTAGAAACTAAAGCAACAATTGTCAAAAACCCCTGTCAACTATTGTACTAACAAATGTCAACTGAAGAAACTCATGCAACGATTACCAGACACTCACGTTTTTTCTTTGAACCGCCTATCTCATCACTGCTGTAGGAAGTATCGTAGGTTGAGGTACTTGAAATGTCCGATTCCGTTACGGAATCAATCATACCCTTTTCTGCCTTGCTCGGCGTGTGTTTCGACGGCAATTCCGGCACCTCTTCCGAATCTTCTCCTCCCGTCTCCGTATCTGCATCTCCGGTAGTTTCCGTCGCCTCCGGCGCTGTTGTCTCAGACACAACCGTCTCATCCGTCGTCGTCGTGGGCGTTTCTTTAGAAGACTTCTTCTTCTTTGTCTTCGACTTATTTTTTTCTTTCGATTTCGACGAGTCCTTTTCTTTCTTTTTATGTTTGACTTTTTCTTTAGGTTTGGATCCGCTTTTTTCTTTTTTCTTTTTGGACGCTCCTGCCTCGAATACGCTGGACGTCGCCTGGTCTGTTGAGTTTTCGATTTCCCTAAAGTCTATAAGCATTTGAGAGTCAGGCGGCGAATCCTCATTCGAGCTGGAACTTTCGTCATCAGAACTTTCATCTTCCGTGTCTGACGCTGGCGCATCGTCGTCGTCTTCAATCCCTTTCTTGACGTCATCGCCGTAATGTACTTTCAGGTGTTTGTGAACTTTTTTTTTCTTTGGAGGTACTGCATAGTCATCATTTATTTTCTGCCTTTCTTCAAGTTTTTCATCTGATTTACCTTGTTTTAGTTTAAATAAAAACTGGTTTGGATAAGACTCGTAGCCGTCTACCTTTATATTCTCCGACTCAATTTGTTCTATGCTTTGCCTTTTCACTTTGATTGAAATTTTTTCAAAACTAGATTTAACCCTACCAACATATTCTATTGGTTTCTTTTCCTCATCAATTCTTTCTTCATTGCCTTGTTTTTCTTTTGAAAGAATTGATTTGATTACAACGTCATCTAATTTACGTTCTTCACCTTCATTTTTATATTCTATGCCTTGTGTGCTTAGCCTCCTTGATGGGTATTTTTCTTTAGAAGAACTAGACCTAACCACACCATCGTCTAATTTTCGTTCTTCCCCTTCATTGTTTTTATATTCTATGCCTTGTGTGCTAAGCCTCCTCGATGGGTATTTTTCTTTAGAAGAACTAGACCTAACCACACCATCGTCTAATTTTCGTTCTTCATCTTCATTTTTATATTCTATGCCTTGTTTGCTTAAGCTACTCGATGGGTATTTTTCTTTAGAAGAACTAGACCTAACCACACCATCGTCTAATTTCCGTTCTTCCCCTTCATTATTTTTATGTTCTATGCCTTGTTTGCTTAAGCTACTCGATAGGTATTTTTCTTTAGAAGAACTAGACCTAACCACACCATCGTCTAATTTTCGTTCTTCATCTTCATTTTTATATTCTATGCCTTGTGTGCTTAGCCTCCTCGATGGGTATTTTTCTTTAGAAGAACTAGACCTAACCACACCATCATCTAATTTCCGTTCTTCCCCTTCATTATTTTTATATTCTATGCCTTGTGTGCTTAGCCTCCTCGATAGGTATTTTTCTTTAGAAGAACTAGACCTAACCACACCATCGTCTAATTTTCGTTCTTCATCTTCATTTTTATATTCTATGCCTTGTGTGCTTAGCCTCCTCGATGGGTATTTTTCTTTAGAAGAACTAGGCCTAACCACACCATCATCTGATTTCCGTTCTTCCCCTTCATTATTTTTATGTTCTATGCCTTGTGTGCTAGGCCTTCTCGATGGGTATTTTTCTTTAGAAGAACTAGATCTTACCACACCATCATCTGATTTCCGTTCTTCCCCTTCATTATTTTTATGTTCTATGCCTTGTGTGCTAGGCCTTCTCGATGGGTATTTTTCTTTAGAAGAACTAGATCTTACCACACCATCATCTAATTTCGGTTCCTCCCCTTCATTATTTTTATATTCTATGCCTTGTTTGCTTAAGCTACTCGATGGGTATTTTTCTTTAGAAGAAGTAGACCTAACCACACCATCGTCTAATGTTCGTTCTTCCGATTCATTATTTTTATATTCTATGCCTTGTGTGCTTAAGCTACTTGATGGGTATTTTTCTTTAGAAGAAGTAGACGTAACCATACCATCATCTAATTTCCGTTCTTCCCCTTCAATATTTTTATATTCTATGCCTTGTGTGCTAGGCCTTCTAGATGGGAATTTTTCTTTAGAAGAAGTAGACTTTACCACACCATCGTCTACTTTTCGTTCTTCATCCTCATTTTTATATTCTATGCCTTGTGTGCTAGGCCTTTTAGACGGAAATTTTTCTTTAGCTTCACTAGACATAACCACACCATCATCTAATTTCTGTTCTTTAATGCCATCTACCTTTTGCTCCTTTCCCAAAACATTTTCCTCTTCTTTTCCTGTTGAACTACTCCCATATATGTCGTTTAGATTTATAAGATTAGAACCACCCTCAACCTCATCTACCTTTCTTTTCACTCCTTCATCAATTTCATTTTCTATGACTTCTTTGCTAGTTTTCCTCGATATTTTTCCTGAAGAATCACCCTCAACATCATCTACCTTTCTTTTCTCTCTTTCATCAATTTTCTTCTCGATGATTTCTTTGCTACTTTTCCTTGATGATTTACCTGTTGAATCACCTTCGACTTCATCTACCTTTTTTTTCTCTCTTATTTTTTCACTTTCATCACTTTTCTTTTCTTTGACTTCGTTGCTACTCTTTCTCGATATTTTACCTGTAGATTCGACCCCAATATCATCTACCTTTCTTTTTTCTGTTTCATCATTTTCTTTTTCTATGACTTCTTTGCTAGTCTTCTTCGATGTTTTACCTGTAGATTCAACCTCAAGATCATCTAATTGCTTTTTCTCTTTTTCATCTATTTCATTTTCTTTGACTTCTTTGCTAGTCTTCCTTGATGTTTTACCTTTAGAATCACCATCAATATCGTCTACCTTTCTTTCATCTATTTCATCTTTTTCAACGTCTTTTCTATGTTTCTTCTTGTGTTTTTTCTTTTTATGTGTAGAGGCGACCTCACCATCGTCTACTTTTATCGCCTCACTTTCATCAGTATCACTCTTTTCACCTTTTTTCTTGTGTTTCTTCTTGTGTTTTTTCTTTTTATCTGTAGAGGTGAACTCACCATCATCTACCTTTATTTCATTACTTTCATCAATTTCCTTTTCTTTTACTTCTTTGCTACTCTTTCTCGAAATTGTACTTGTAGATTCGACCTCAATATCATCTACCTTTCTTTTTTCTGTTTCATCATTTTCTTTTTCGATGATCTCTTTGCTAGTCTTCCTTGATGTTTTACCTGTAGATTGACCCTCAAGATCATCTAATTGCTTTTTCTCTTTTTCATCTATTTCATTTTCTATGATTTCTTTGCTAGTCTTCCTTGATGTTGTATCTTTGGCATCCACATCAAAATCATCTACCTTTTTTTTCTCTCTCTCATCTATTTCATCTTTTTCAACGTCTTTTCTATGTTTCTTCTTGTGTTTTTTTTTCTTTTTATCTGTAGAGGCAACCTCAGCATCATCTGTTTGTATCTCCTCACTTTCACCAGTATCACTCTTTTCAGCAGATTTCTTGTGCTTCTTCTTGTGTTTTTTCTTTTTATCTTTAGAACCTGGTTCAACTTCTTCTGACTTTCGTTTCTTACCCGCATTAATTTCCTCTTCTTTTCCTGTTGAACTACTCCCATATATCTCGTTTGTACGACTCGAATCGGTTTCAATATTATCTACCTTACTTTCTTCTTTTTCTTCGACCTCTTTGCTACTCTTCCTCGGTGTTTTATCTGTAGAGTCTACCTCAACATCATCTACCTTTATTTCCTCCCCTTCACTCGTATCAGTTTGTTCAACGTCCTTTTTTTGCTTCTTCGATTTGTGTTTATGCTTTTTCTTCTTACGACTAGACTTTGCCTCACTGTCATCCGTAGCTTCCGCCTCCTCCGTTCCGCTTTCCGCAACACTTTTCTTTTTTTTCTTGTGGTGTTTTTTCTTCTTATGTTTCGACTTAGCCTCATCTTCACTGACCTTTGTTTCCACCTCGTTCCCTATGTCCGCCACTGAGCTTCCGTCTGTAGTGTCCGACATTTTGGAATGCGCTCTCAAAATCTGTGTAGTCTATCGGCCTTATCTGTGAGCGTTTCAGGTTGGCACATTAAAACATGTTCTAATACACTTATAATAGTCGTATTTTGTGTAAAAACCTGTATATATATATATATATATATATATATATATATATATATATATATATATATATATATATATATATATATATATATATATATATATATATATATATATATATACATATAAATATATACATACATACATATATATATACATACATACATATAATATATATATATATATATATATATAATATTTATAATTATATTTATATTTATATATTGATTCTAGGGTTCCCGTCCAGCTTCGCATAGGCTTTTAATGAAGGTGACTGACCTCTAACCTAGTCCTATTCATATCTCGCGCAAACGTTGATGTCAGTTCAATCTAAAAAATTCTATTCTTAATCAGACGACAACATTACATAATGTAGTTACAATTCCAATTAAGGATACATACAAAATAGTATTCTAGGTTTAACAATCACGAAAAATCGACACTATAAAGCTATGAAGTTTGTTTATCTGTGGCAAAATGGTTTGTTTGTTGCAGAATGGTTTGTGAAAAAACATTCAGAAAATAAAATAAAGACTTCACGTTATCACCCATTATGTCATATTTTAAAAATTTTAATTTTTTACTAAAATCTAAACTGATGTCTAGAAATCTATGCATTTACCATTTTCAAAATAAATTTTCATTTTACAACTTAACGTTTTAACTGACTTGAAGAGCAAAGAACAAAAAATTAAACTAAATTAATTATCCCGCATACAATTTTTTAAATTTCTTATCAGAAACATTATACAAATTACATCACTTTACACCAATTACCTTATTTGATCGGGACCTTAAAAAAACTGTACTCATCAGAAAAAAACAACAACTGTTTTTTGTTTTTGCTTTTTACTTTGTATAAGTTTGCGTTTATGTGTATGTTTATGTTTATGTTTGTGTTTATATGTTTGAATTTGCATTATATTTATGTTCTTGCTTGCGTTTATGTTTGCGTTTATTTCTGCGTTTTATTTTGTTTTCATATTTTCGTAATTTTTTCCGTTAACACAAAGTTTTAGTTATATCAAAACTTTTAACGATAGTAGGCATATATGAGATATTGCTATCAACTACTATTCTTTATTTTAAAAACTTAAACATATAGTAGTGTTTGATCAGCCACTTTCAATAAAGATTATTAACCTCTAACCTAGTCCTAACCATAACCATACCTTTGATTAAGTTTTATTTTAAAAACAAAAATTTACCTAGTAAGAAAAGCTCTTCTTCCTGCCAGCAAATATTACAGTGATTGGCAGTGTTTAAAATTTAAAGCGTAATCTCCCTTTGTATGTGTTTCTTCTATTCCGCGTAAACTTCGTTCAATGAATGGTGCTCATCTGTTTTCTAACTTTGGTGTGAAAACTTGTGAAATCTAAGTTATGAATTTTTGAAAAAAATTAATATCTCGACGATTATGTTAGTTTATAACGAAAATTGTAATGATTGCAATGGTATTAACGATAAAATAATAATAGTAAAAGAAAGAAAGAATAACTTAAAAATTAGATAGAATTTAATTGAAGGCGAAACAATTTGGGTGTAGGATAAAAAAGCGACAGGGCAAAAGATGACCAACATTGATAAAGAGCTGACATCGAAAAAACAGCGATACCAAAATCGACTAGACAAAGGGCCAACATACCATAGGCTGACGGTTAAAGAGCAGACACCCAAAAAAACCTTATTTCCTGTCGACATTTTGTCCAAACCTGACTTCTGTCCATTTCTATCTTTTGTCCATGTTGGCCTTTTATCCAGATTCCAAACTATTTTATGATTTGAAGTATACTTCGAATTTTACAGTTAAAATAGTGTCTCAATTAAATTATGTCATAACAGGCAATGACTAAGGTCAAGGCGACACAGTTGAGACTGAAACATCTACTTCAACCCCCCCCCCCATTCAGTGAGCTTTGTAAAGTTGCCATGAGCGGTTTTTCTATAGTAGCACTCCATTATATTGCATATCTTACGTTGTAGGGGAAAAAAATTATGTTTTCAAAATAACTGTGGAAATTTGGAAAATTTTAATTAAATGTTATTGATACAACAGGGCATGTGGTTTTCCCACGCGCTGTTTGAAAATATAAGCATAATGTATTCAGCAGTTTAACCACAATACACTAGTAGTTTTTTTTTAAGTAAACAAAAAAATTAGAGAATCAATAAGAGACAACTTTGTTTATTAATTCAGTTATTTAATTTAATATTGTCGTTACAATTTTCAATGAGTTAAAAATAAATATTATGAAAATACCGAAAGAAAAAATGTGAATTCATTGACATTGGAAAGTAACGGATAAATAATACATCACAACTAATAAAAGAATAACAAAAGTACAATCTGAGTGATCACATTCTTCTGCGCAAAATAACAATGGAAGTCTATATTTCAATGTATTACGTGTGATACAAATACCGAAAATAGGTTGATTGGAATTAGAAGTTTTGGATCTTGTATATGTAAAACATCTTCAATTAATGAAATTAAATGTCAGACAGTAGTATTACTATTGTCAATTGGAATCGGTCCTCACAAGCCGATGATGAAAACTGCAATACCAAATTGAACATGGCAAGGTATACTAACTCTGTGAATTACATGTCTGAGGCAAAAAAAAAATTTAAAATAAGAAAAATAAGTTCAGTTACAATCTCATTTTCAAAACTCAGTATATTGTAGTACAAAAATAACACTAAAATACGATGCTTGTAGCAAATTGAAAGATTACGTGAGATCAAACCAACAGACACGCATTTTTTTTTCTCTCAAGCAATTTAAATCAGTTATCCCCCAAGTGTATGTCCAAGTGCATGACTTGATATTCATGCTGCAAGTAGATCCCACTAACACCAAGTATAATCTTTACACAACATATACCCAGACAGACATCACATATATACACATGTGTGCTTGAAGTCGTACCGTTTTGTCCGATCACGTGACCACTTAGCTGGACACTGTAGCTTAAATTAATGTAATGTAACATAATTAATTAATTAATTAATGTTACATTAGATTAAAAATAAAGAGAAACATTGTTTCTCACTTTAAAACTCACTTTAAAACTAATCCTCAAACACATGTGTACCTCGATAGATATGATACATACCCAGCAATTCACAATTGCAATTTAACTTAATACAAAAAACTCACACACGCATATATATATATATATATATATATATATATATATATATATATATATATATATATATATATATATATATATATATATAGAGAGAGAGAGAGAGAGAGAGAGAGAGAGAGAGAGTTGGTTGGTGAGTGTGTGTTTTTCGTAAACACAATATCTGCCAAGTTTTTCCTTTAGTCTACTAGATATTGAGCCACAGAATCCCTATGGTAAAGGTCTTGCCTCCCCTTAGTATAACTCTAGCTTTCTATCGGAGATAACTCCTCAAGTCTTGAGTGCAAGGATCAACATGTTTCTGTAATTAGCACAGGCTCTCCTGTCAAACAGGTACTCACCTTCTCACGTGCGTGCTGTAACGACCTAAACCGCGGAGTCTTCCGCTCCCTACTATGCTACCTCACACAAAACGTGGTTTATCCATTTAAAAAAAGTTGTCTCCCTTGACTATAAGTTACAACTTTAAATCCTTCACAGTAAACACTTCAGGGAAATTAACTAAAAAATATTACGGTCAAGTATTTAAAAGTTAAATTTATCCAGTAGTATTTTGACAGCGAGAACTATGTAAGAAAGCTTGAAACGACGTAGTTGTTGACCATATAAAGTTTTCAAGAAAGTAATTTTGCTAACAATAGAAAGCATTGACTCAAAAAAAATAATTAATATCTGTTAAGAACAATTGGATTACACTCTGGTATTTCTAAGAGAAAGAAAACTACCATTTTGGTTTTTAAAGCTAACGAAAAATAATGCTCTCAAATTTCTTTTTATGTTGTACGAGTTAAAGTATTGATGATATTGTTCTGCTATGATTATTTTACTTAAGTTTTAAAAATTTTTTGTTGGTGACAAATTCCATTTCTTTAGCCTTGAAATGGTTGTAAAAACACATATTAATATAGTTAAAATTCTGGCACGACTTCGTAAATCACACAGGCCAATTACTAGATATGAAAACTATGCTGGAACCTTATAACATAGCCAACCAATCATAGCTCGTATCCAAGAGCGATTTTGATTTACACCTTGTAGGACACTAAATCTTGCGGGGTGGGAGGGGAGGGGAAAGGAAGGTTGATGATTAGCTCATCATGTAAAAAAATGAGGTAAACTTTTTGGAATGGCCAGCTACACTGGATTTTCTAGAATGTTCATTTTAATTCTGCATGCGCTATCAAAAGTACTACCACTGTGTCCGTCAGAGATTGTTTTGATATTTGATATTTGATATATAGTTTGTGAATTGACAATAAAAGCTGCTGTTGTATCGTAAACAACACAAGTCTTAAAATATGGTTCTTATTTAGCTACTTACAAATGTTTATTAACATTAAAATAATTTAAACTAGACAATTTTTTTTAATATCAATATTTTTTATTAAACGCAAACATATTAAATGATGGAAAATAATATCAAATTGTAATTTTTTTAATTAAAAAAAAAACAATAATGATGTACGAAAATGTATTTTTACTCACACTAGGTTTGGTATTTTTATAGGTGATTGTCTGTAATAGCATTGCTCCTTTTTCGTCGCTAAATTTATTGTATTCCCAATTATTCTTTGCCCATTCGTCCGTTACTCAATTAATTTCATCTCCCAATTATTCTTTTCCCATTCGTCCTTTACTCAATTAATTACATCTCCCAATTTTCCTCTACCATTCGTCCGTCGCTCAATTAATTACATCCCCCAATTATTCTTAGTCTATTTTAAAGTCGCTCAATTAATTACATCTCCCAATTATTCCTCGTCCATTCGTCCGTCGCTCATTGAACACTTGAAGTATTTGGCATTTCACAGTTTTTGGACATAGATTTTGTAATCACGCCCACACCAAAGGTTGAAGCGTGCACTGAATAGTTGACAAAAACAATCTCAAAATTCCAACTCAACAGAAAATGGTAATCAAATATAGATCATAAACTCATTAGCATCGATTCTCAGGTAAACTCTTGAAAGTTCTGATTTCTTACACCGCAACACACCTGGATTATTACCTTAACTACCCAATGATAAGCACCTGTATGCAGGTGTAGCACGTTCCACGATCTAGTGCAACTAACAACATGCACGTGCAGCGATCGCGCATTGCACCTGATATTCACCTGATATTCACCTGATATTCACCTGATATTCACCTGATATTCACCTGATATTCACCTGATATTCACCTGATATTCACCTGATATTCACCTGATATTCACCTGATATTCACCTGATATTCACCTGATATTCACCTGATATTCACCTGATATTCACCTGATATTCACCTGATATTCACCTGATATTCACCTGATATTCACCTGATATTCACCTGATATTCACCTGATATTCACCTGATATTCACCTGATATTCACCTGATATTCACCTGATATTCACCTGATATTCACCTGATATTCACCTGATATTTACCTGATATTCACCTGATATTCACCTGATATTTACCTGATATTCACCTGATATTCACCTGATATTTACCTGATATTCACCTGATATTCACACGATATTCACCCGATATTCACCTGATATTCACCTGATATTCACCTGATATTCACCTGATATTCACCTGATATTCACCTGATATTCACCTGATATTCACCTTATATTCCCCTGATATTCACACGATATTCACCCGATATTCACCTGATATTCACCTGATATTCACCTGATATTCACCTGATATTCACCTGATATTCACCTGATATTCACCTGATATTCACCTTATATTCCCCTGATATTCACACGATATTCACCTGATATTCACCTGATATTCACCTGATATTCACCTGATATTCACCCGATATTCACCTGATATTCACCTGATATTCACCTGATATTCACCTGATATTCACCTTATATTCCCCTGATATTCACCCGATATTCACCCGATATTCACCTGATATTCACCTGATATTCACCTGATATTCACCTGATATTCACCTGATATTCACCTTATATTCCCCTGATATTCACACGATATTCACCTGATATTCACCTGATATTCACCTGATATTCACCTGATATTCACCTGATATTCACCTGATATTCACCTGATATTCACCTGATATTCACCTGATATTTACCTGATATTCACCTGATATTCACACGATATTCACCCGATATTCACCTGATATTCACCTGATATTCACCTGATATTCACCTGATATTCACCTGATATTCACCTGATATTCACCTGATATTCACCTTATATTCCCCTGATATTCACACGATATTCACCCGATATTCACCTGATATTCACCTGATATTCACCTGATATTCACCTGATATTCACCTGATATTCACCTGATATTCACCTGATATTCACCTGATATTCACCTGATATTCACCTGATATTCACCTGATATTCACCTGATATTCACCTGATATTCACCTGATATTCACCTGATATTCACCTGATATTCACCTGATATTCACCTGATATTCACCTGATATTCACCTGATATTCACCTGATATTCACCTGATATTCACCTATAACATCGCTACCAAAGTACGCGTATTCCACATTGAGCAGCTCCTATAAACAACGACCACAGTAAATACAATCAACAGCTACGGGCTGAACAAATTACTTTTAAACCCTGAACAAACACAGAATTATCGTGATGGCTTTGCAGAACGTATTTGGTCAAGCCGGATCTTGCTGTAATACTGACCATACGAAATACAATCAACAGCTACGGGCTGAACAAATAACTTTTTGATCCCGAACAAACACAGAATAATCCTAGAGGCTTTGTAAAACCCCTTAGTCAAGCCGCAACTAGTTATAATACTGACCATAAGAAACACAATCAATAACTACGGGCTGAGAAGTGTAGGCCTACTGTTAGACCAGACCAATCACACTATTAATAAATTAGCGTAGTGGAGTTGTGAGCCCACGTAATTAGGCACACCTAGCTATCATACTGATCACAAGAAAGACATCTAACAGCTAGGAACCAAGAAATTCAATTAAAAACCAACTTAAAATAACCTAGTCAGATTCACCGACTGTACAGGGCATCAACTAGTCAAAATACTGACCAAAAGAAAAACATACACCAGATTCAGGTGTAGTGACACACGGCACTTTTTTTTTTTTAAAAGTTTGCACCCTGTCTTCAAGTAGTTGTTTACGCTATTCATCCAATCCTCCATAAAAAAACTAAAAAAAAAATAATAAATAAGAAAATTCCAATTAAATTCAATCGACTTGTGGTAAAGTAAGCCGGTTCCTAATTAAACATCGGGACCGGTACTTTTGATTAGTCTACCCCACATTTCAAACCCCCCCCCCCCCCCCACGTATCGGTATTAACAGTGAAGAAAATCTATGCCGATCTGATCAGAGTGTTAGATCCTCGTCTTGACTTAACTATATGGCATCTGAGTTCTGCTGCTTTCTGTAACTTGGGAATAACATACAACACCTTTTGACGCTTCCAATATTCAATGATTTATTTTATTTTTTAACAACAGATACATCCACTCTTGAGCAAAAGTCAATCACAAACCAAACATCAACAGAACAATGATGATGTAAAATAAATGTATTTGAATTAAAAAAGCGTGAATGACATTGAATACATTACTTCATCATCGATATAACTTATATTGTCAATGAACCCATAAAAAAACTTAAGAAAGTTTTAGTCGGAGTAAAAATCCATGGCAGTAAAGATTTCTCACTCAATTGTGAGTTTTAAGTCCAAAGAAATGCAATTATTTTCATTTGGATCTATCCCGCCAAGAACGATAAATGCAGTAACACAATGCGAGTTGTCTTGTTTTATCCCGTTAAGGATAGCTGATCATAATATATCTGGACCTCTTTCTGTATGGTGTGACCATCATATCTCTTCGTTTTGTATGTTAATCCCACTTGCGTTTTGTTGTAACGTTTTGTATGTTAATCCCGTTTTGTTGTAACGTTTTGTATGCTAATCCCACATTCGTTTCTGTCCTACTACACTTATTCCGGATCACCTTTTGAATCCATCTCCAAATTATTTACAAAAGGAGAGTCAAAATGAAAACCAAACAAGTATAATGTAAACATGTCGAAAATGAAAACATCAGTAGGGATCGCAATCCCATACAGAAAATAGAGTCAAATTGTGTGACCAAAGTATCATTAAAATCTGCTTTTGATTGATATAATCGATATATTTAATTGATTTTATCAGACCGTACCCAGAACAATGAATCACCTTGTAAGCATCACGACGTTCAAAACGGCAGCTGAATGGCGTAGCGTAGCAGTAGAGCGCTAGACAGATAACCCGAAAGTCTAGAGTTCGAATCCCGGTTTATGTTAATAGAACGTCCCTTCGTCATCCGAGCGGCTAGGCGTACTGATGATTAAATTTTCTCTTCTCAGATACAAGCGAACTCTGGGCTCGGAAAAGAGAAGGAACCATCGCTGTTGAAGTTGTATGAAAGCCAGAACCTTTCTTGTAGGGATGATTTTGCGCTTGCTAAGTTCTTTCAGTCAAAATCTGACAATGTATTAATCTGAATGCTCTTTACACCGCTTTAGTTACATCCTTACAACTTTACTCAACCTTAATCAGATTTAAACAGCTCAAAACATCTTCAAACAGCCGTGTATTCAAACAGATTTTTGACTGATTCAGACGGCTTTAAAACAGTTGTTGAAAACTCCAAACAGCTTTTTTTTTTTAAAAAAAAAAATACATGTCCATGAATTCAAACAGCATCGCCCGTGTCGGAACCATCGTTCATGTCCTGCTTGACCGTGCTGTAGTGCGACATGGTGGTCATGCGCGTGTCATGTGAGTACGTCCCGTTCATGGCGCCGCGACTGAGCAGAATCCGCTTCTTGCAACAGCAGCAGTACAGCCTCAGCACCTTATGGAAGGCGCGCCGGAACTTGGTCGAGACGATGTTGTAGATGATCGGGTTCCCGGCGCTGTTGATGTAGACGAGGAGCCGGCAGAAGTTGATGACGTTGAGGTAGCACTCGGGGGTGAGAACGCTGAGGGCGAAGACCTGGTACAGCCCGAGGATGCGGAAGGGCAGCAGGCAGACGAAGAAGAGGACGATGATGCCCACCAGCATGATGACCAGTTGACGGCGGTTCTGCTGGGACTGGGATTTGGCTGACTCGGTCATCTGTTTGCACTCCATCGTCTCGGAGATGACCTGGGTGGAGGAGAGGGGGTGGTGTTAGGTTGGAGGAGTCACGGTAGAGGAGTCAGGCTAGAGGAGTAAAGCTAGAGGAGTCAAGTTAGAGGAGTCAGGCTAGAGGAGTCAGGCTAGAGGAGTCAGGCTTGAGGAGTCAGGCTAGAGGAGTCAAGTTAGAGGAGTCAGGCTAGAGGAGTCAGACTAGAGGATTAAAGCTAGAGGAGTCAGGCTAGAGGATTGAGGCTAAAAGAGTCGGACTAGAGATAGAGAGGTCACAGTAAAGGAAACGACCTGGAGAAGGGGATAGATAAAAATGGTGTTAGGTTGGAGGAGTCACACTAGAGGATTCAGGCTAGAGGAGTCAGACTAGAAGAATGAAATTATGGAAGCCAGGCAAGGGGAGTCATACTAGAGGAGTCACACAAGATGAGTCATGCTCGATGAGTCGTACTAGATTAGTCAGACTAGAGGTGTCACGCTAGACGAGTCAGGCTAGCGGAGTCACACTAGAGGAGTCAATGTATAGAAGTCATACCACAGGAGTTTGACTAGAGGTCATACTAGAGGAATTACATCATATGAGTCATGCTAGAAGAGTCAGAATAGCGAGGTCATAATGTTAGAGTCAAGCTAGAGGTGTCAGGCTAGAGGAGTCAGGTTAGAGTAGTCAGGCTTACGGGCTTCCATACAGAAGTTTCCAATATGAATGCCTTATAAAACCGAAAATCTTTGTATGCAAACATTGATTATTCCATTAACTTCCTGCCTGCTTAACGTGAACTTAGCCCCAATAGAAGCTACTCACCTTATGAATGATCATGTTGTACAGGAACACGAGCAGCAACATGGGGATGACAAATATTAAGACGAATGAGCACACCAGGTAGATCCGTTCCCAGAGATGGACCATGGGCATGACGCACACTTCCACCAGGTCCGTCTTGTGGACGTGTGGGGTGGTCTCTGTGTGGGCCATAACCTAGTGGGTGGGGTGGGGGATTAGTTGGTGTGATTGGTGTTGGAGATGACATGAGTTATCTAGGCTATTTACTTTTAAATATTTGACATGAGTTATCTAGGCTATTTACTTATACATATTAGCCATGAGTTATCTAGGCTATTTACTTTTAAATATTTGACATGAGTTATCTAGGCTATTTACTTATACACATTAGCCATGAGTTATCTAGGCTATTTACTTTTAAATATTTGACATGAGTTATCTAGGCTATTTACTTATACATATTAGCCATGAGTTATCTAGGCTATTTACTTATACACATTAGCCATGAGTTATCTAGGCTATTTACTTATACATATTAGACATGAGTTATCTAGGCTATTTACTTATACACATTAGCCATGAGTTATCTAGGCTATTTACTTATACATATTAGACATGAGTTATCTAGGCTATTTACTTTTAAATATTTGACATGAGTTATCTAGGCTATTTACTTATACATATTAGCCATGAGTTATCTAGGCTATTTACTTATACACATTAGCCATGAGTTATCTAGGCTATTTACTTATACACATTAGCCATGAGTTATCTAGGCTATTTACTTATACATATTAGACATGAGTTATCTAGGCTATTTACTTATACATATTAGACATGAGTTATCTAGGCTATTTACTTATGAATATTTTAAACAATCATGTAGCCTACTTGAATAGTGTGTATTCAAACAATTCCACGCTATAATATACTAACTTTGAATATCAACTTTGAATATCATTTAGTAAATGTAGCCTACTACAGCAGTAAGTTATGAAAATCGAAATAAACTTGCATTCAAGTTTGAGTAAACAAACTTTAAAATATTTAATTTAACCAATATAATTATTTCCATAACTATATACATACTATTATCATAAACTATGCGCAGCTAAAAAATGGTATCGAATTTTTTGGACTATCATGGGACAGGCCGAAAGAGGAATTACGATACATGAGCAACCTATGATCTCTTCATCTGTCCTTGTACACGACTCTAAGCTTCACTTCCATGGGTGCATCTATTATTTCCCGGGATAAAACGGAGCTATAGGTTGTCCATAAATTATGTCGCCCGAGTTTTAACCGTCATCACTGCATTATTATCTTAGCCTTAACCGGGAATCATGTATTTATTTCAACCCACCCCCCCACCCTCACCATCGCTTCCCACCTCACTATCCTATAATAAAAAAAATTTGTTCAATGAAACTTCCAAGTACGTTTTACATCATTAATTAATTTTGTTTTGAGAGACGTCACATTCTCATAACATCTCACATGAACCCTAAACGTGGTTCTTTACCACCCCTCCCGTTTTGGTGGTGGGTGATATCGAGATTCCAGAAATTTTTATGTTCCTGATCTAAATTTTATTTTGTCTATACATAGACTGAAATTGTACAGACTTTAACATAAGTATCAAAATATTGTCAGCAAAACTATGTCTGACATTTTGAAAGCTTTATAGCCTATCTCATAACCAGAGTTTCTTCCAGGCATCTCTTCGTGGGTGGTAGGGGGGTCTACCGCCTCCCCACGGCCCCGGGCGAGATGTAATTTATATAGAAAACATATACCTTTAACAGTGTCTGCCACCCCCGGAAAATGTAGTCCACCCCCTCCCCCCTCCCGAAAATATCAAGAGCCCTTTCGGAGAAAAAAGTCTGGAAGAAACTCTGCACATAACTGTATAGTCAATAAACGTATGAAACATTTTCCATAACAGGAACTCTTTTTGATACAATAGTTTTATTTCTCCATTTTTACAATCGTTCAGCCTAAGGTCACGACCAACTCATGAATATGGAAAACGTCATCTTAAACTCATGTCTACAAACCGGACGTTTTCCTGGACCTAGGCCAGTAGAACAAAAAAACAGCTAAATACATGTATGTAGAAGACACGCACACAGAGGCGTAGCGACCCTTCCCGGCGCCCGGAGACAAACTTTCAATTTGGCGCCCCCCTCTGGAGAAAATTTTCAATTTGCACCCCCTCAAACTTTCGATTTGCACCCCCCTTCTCAAACCTTCGATTTGCACTCCACACTCAAACTTTCGATTTGCACCCCCTCCTCAAACCTTCGATTTGCACACCCCCCATCAAACTTTCGATTTGCACCCCCACCCCCTCAAACTATTTATAATGCAAAATGCAGCTAAAATGACATTTTAATTTGTTTTTCCAACCCATTTTGGCGCCCACTAAGGTCGGCGCCCGGGGACATATGTACCCCCCGCCCCCCTCGCTACGCCTCTGCACGTACATCAGACAGCAATGAAAATTGAACCAGTTCCAGAGGGCGAGACTTACCAGAAACGGCGAGGCAGCCACCGCGGCGATGACCCAGACGACAGCGATCGTGATCATGGCCTTTGACCTTGACCCGGATGTGTGTGTCTTGAGAGGGTAGTAGACGGCCCAGAACCTCTCGAGGCTGATCATCAGGATGATGAGGATGGACGCCACGGTAACAAAGGACTCGAGGAAATTGACCAGTTTGCCTGTAAGGAGATAAGAGATATCGATTCGTTGAAATATGTTTGTGGATGTAAAGGGTGGTGCTTTTAAAAGCACTTAAAGTGCTCTCTGCACATTAAAAAAATTCCCTCGACTGGTTCTCAAATTGTGGCTGTAGGTATAAACCAGATGAAGCGTTTGAAATTATGTTTGAAACGTTATTTGTTTTAAATACTAACTTAAACCATGTGGTTGCTTAAATAAATAACGTAATTTTAGTAATATATATCAATTGTGTCTTTATGGGAAATTATTTTAAAGATTAGAATGTGAAAAAAAAATGCAAATATTTGTTTTTAAAACAAGACGTTAGTAACAAGAGTATTGTTAATACATATTTGAAACGGCAACCGACCCACAATTCATCTCAGTAGGTAAAGTTATATTGCATATATGTGCGCTATATATGACACTCTTAATAACGATTAGAGTTGCCGCAGTTACTAATTTTGAGTATTATATTTTATTGCTTAAACTAATGTATGGAAAAGGTTTAGGTATTGGATTAATAATCACTACGTTGTTACTGTTTTTCCTATTTCCTATATTTATAATGATTCTGAGAAATTAAAAATAAAATAAAGATTATGCTATCTTTATACAGAACAATTTAGTTCGATTTAGTTACATTTTAACCACGATTAGATTTTTAAACAATACAATAAACTATTAGCCACGGTTTGGGTGTGTATTAATGATTAAAGTAAAGTTACACTATCAAAGCTGACGGACCATGAGGAAGATAAATTAGTTCAACAAATGAAACTAAAGGATAAGTTGGTGAGCAATATACTCTATCGTCTTTACCTCACGTAAGTCAGGTACCCATCAGAGCTGAGTACACTCAGAAACGGATTAAAGCTTAAGATCAGAACTCGAGATTTTCGGGTTAGCATTCATACGCTCAAACGTCCGACCACACGATTCTTTAATCAATCAATTATTATTATTATTACTGAATAAATAATCAGAACAAAAAACGTTTCAAGAATCCGATTTAAAAAAAAATGTAAAAAATTATTATACGCGTTAGATTAAATCACCTTCTTGCTGACAATGTTTACCGTGTCTCATCCCACAAGTTTCCTAATCAAATCCTATTAACAAATTCACTAGCATTAACCCACTCTACATGTAAACTCACTTATTTAGCCTCCTCCCCCCCCCCTCTCCTCTAGCCTGAATGTAATAGTACTACAGTAGCTAAGGAAATCAAGCACTCTTGCTTGCTGAAGTTGACCTCCTACTGTCAGCAAGGAACGGTAACTACAGCTGAAGGCGGATGGGGGTGGGGGTGGAAGGGGGACGGGGGTAGGGCTGGAAGTAGTGCGAGTGATGGACAGGTGTGGGGGGGGGGGGGAATTGGGACACGCGTGAAAAGACCTTAAGTCGATATTAGGTCATGGTGTTGATCTACGATACACACAGGGTGTCTGGTAGTCAGGGGATAGGTCAGTCCAATGACCTTAGATTCTTAGTTAAACATGATAGGTCGTAGCGTGGTGGTAGGTCTGTCTAATGACATAAGATAAACATGGTATGTAGCAGTATAGTGATGGCCCTGTCCAATGACCTAAGATAAACATGGTACGTCGTAGCGTGGTTGTAGGTCAGTCTAATGATCTAAGATAAATATGCCATGTAGTAGTGTGGTGGTAGGTTTGCCTAATGATTTTATGTGTGTGTGTGTGTGTGTTGTGTGTGTGTGTTGAGTGTGTGTGTATCACAGCTTTTCTTAAGGAGTGAGATTTTTCACCTGTATGAACCTGATAACAACAATACACATCGACTGAAAATGAAATTGGTAACGGCTTAAAAAACACGAAAATCAAATCTATTTATTACGATTCCAACCAGGCAAGACCCGCCTGGTTTTATTAAAGAGCCCTCCGAGAGATGGAAGAGTCTCGCGAGACGGCACGAGAGCGGGGGGAAAAATGGAGTGCCGTGTAGACCCCCGCTGCCAGAGACTTAATGCCCGGACCCGGGGATTGTAAAATAATGGAGCCGGTCGATGGGATTGATTTCTGTTCTATTGCCTGGAACTTTTTCATTCGATTTTTTTTTATAGTGAGGAAATCCCGGAGGTAATCCGTCCACTGTCCCCCCCCCCCCCCCCCCTTCCCTCCTTTTTTACTATGACCTAAATGCTTCAGACCTGTTTCCTGCCCAATCGCCGTCCCCTTCCCCCTAAATCTATTACATGTCTTCAAGCTGGACAGCGCTATGCTATAAGCCATGTTTTCCAACAACCTATGGTTCTTCTCTTTAAAAAATAAAAAAATAATTTCAATCTCCCGCAGAATAGCTTTTCCATTGGAATACAAATTAATATGACGGATTGTTTGACAAAATTATATTGACATAAACAAAATAAAACAGCATTAATTGTTTGTGGATTAATTATTTTTCGAGATTGGCATTGATGAAGCATGGTGAGCCTTGGCTTAAAAAATGCACGGGCGTTGTTTTCTCTTGGGATCTGAGAGACATGTTTGGGTTTCTTAATGAGAGGCGATTAAGGTAGGGTCAGTTGTTAAAGGGTTAATGATAACTGGTTGGTGGGTTTTTTAGTTGAGGGTTGGAAGGGATAGGGTTGGCTGGGAAAGTTTTGAGGTTGGTTGGCTTATGATAAAGTTCGCTGGTTGAATTTTGGGTTGGCTTGCTTAAAATTGTGGTTGGCAGTTTTATCTGTTTGAATTTGGTAGGTTTGTGGTTGGCTGGCTCGAATGTGTGGTTGGCAGACTCAGATTTAGGGTTGACAGACACGGGTTAGGGGTTGGCAGACTTAGCTCTAAGGTTGACAGACTGGGGTTTAGGGTTGGCAAGATCATTTTTAGGGTTGGTAGACTCAGCTTTTAGGTTGGCAGACCAAGGTTTGAGATTGCCAGACCCAGGGTTGGGTTGTATTTAAATTCTCCTGATAAGCTCGTCCTGTTGTTCCCATTCCCAACTATAGGTCTCACATTGAGCTCTCTAGGTAGATCAAACGCTGAAACGTCAAATGAGCTGCTAAATTAATTCATGCTTTTAATCGTTTCTGAAAAAAATAAAAACAGTGAAACTGCAGCGTAAAAAATCAGCTGAAATCGGTTAAAAGGGAATTGCCATGCAATGCTCTCTAGGTAGGGCTAGTTACTTGTGAAAACATTTCCTACCAACCAACCACATGAAAGCTAAATACTTTTAAAAGCATGACAATTTTAAAAGTGTATCTTCAAACGGGGCATCGTATACACTTTACCGCCGTGAAAGTCACAGTTTGGCACTTTTTAAATTGCATCAAAGTCGAAATAATTAATTGATTAATTGATTGCAAAATTAACGTGGCGTTAAACAGTGCTTTTAACATCGTTACTTACAAAATAACAGGAAAACACAAGGGGAGGGTGGAGGTGGGCGTGGCAGAGGCGCGGAAGTTTGGAATTTAAAAATGAAACTAATGTCCGTCTTGAAAAATAAAATGCTATCTTTTTGTTTTACTTTGAATTCATTACATCCCGATCTAATATGAACGTTTTTGTTAACAAGTTTAAAAAATACATCAATTCAAATCTGCTACCTTGCTCATTTGTATGTAAACAGTGTAACGATTGTACTATAGGTGGGAAGGGGGTTACATTAGTTTCAAATACATTTTAGCTATTCAACCGTTAACAGCCATTAATCATCACTTAAAATTGAGCAATAACGAATGGTTATTAACCGTCGTGTAAAATATAACAATAACTAAAAGAAAAAAAGTTTTATTAAAACAAAACATACAAAAGTGTTAGGTTTGTAAGCCCTATTTGATAAACTTGGCTAACCAGCGCAGGGCATGTCTTTCAAGAGTTCATAGCTAAGCTCTTTGTGGGAAGTGACACATTCCACATAAGTAATGTATATTTACTTTGATAAAATTACATCTATGTGTGTGTGGTTCCTTTGAGCACTAAGTTTAAATATATATTAAGTTCGAATGTGCATCAATGCTTCAGCAGTAGCTGTAAACTTTTTTTTTTCAAATTTTAATAAACACAAATTCTGAGATATTTTGAGCAATTATCTTAGTAGTTACATAATTCAGCTTGCAGTTGTGTATTCATCAAGACGCCATCACCACCACCACCACCACCATCATCAGAAATGGTATTGTACGCCAACTCAAGATGTCCAACATCCACTGTACCGTGCAACAGTCCATCTCTACCAGTCAACCACCCTAGTGGTGTCCGTCTGAAGTTGTTACCCCCAGGTGCCCCCCCCCCTACAACCTTAATGCTCTCTAACCAATTCCTCCCAACTATTTGAATGGTATGCGATACGACCGTTTATCTCTTCTAGTCTAACGAAAACAAATCGCCGCCGTCGGTGTGACGTCACAACGGCCGGAAAACAATCCGTATCGGTGTGTTAAAATAGCACTAGAAATTGGTCCAAATTGTTGCTTGTAAAGATAGGCTTGTTTGTTGGTTTTTTTTTTTGGGGATTTCGAAACCACAGACTAAACTCAGCATCATTGATTTCGTTGAACATTTATCAGGGAGATTATTCTGTTTTCAAAAGTGAATAGAAAAAAATATTGCTGTCACAAAGATGAAAAAGAAAATCGGTAACACTATTGAAGTTTGAAGTAAACAGATTAAGTGCCTTCGAAATTGCAAACGATTTTTAAAACAATGTTTATGGGCATTCATACACCAGTTCAATTTCAGCCGTTTTTATGCTTGTTATTTTTTTTTAAATTCTCTAAAAAAAAAAGTCATTATCGACTTTTTTTATATACAACAATAGCGATCGCACATTTTTTAAAAGGATAAATTAATTTTAATTTCTATATATCTCTTTTGTGCGCCTAAAGTACTTTAATCATGAAATATCAAAAGCTTAAAAATGTTTCCTCACACAATTTCTTATTTTATTTTTATGTGAGCCTGCCTGAATAATATTCCAATTTGTTAGACTGGGTTCCAGAATTTGAAAAGCTCCGCCCTCCCCTCTC